TGTCCTTGTAGGGTGGTTCTGCATGAAGGCACAACATGGCAAAGTCCTTGTTTGGACAGACCTCAAGGAAGTACTCTGATGTTAAGTGCTCATCGAGGTCCAGGTAGAAGCTGTTGAAATTGTAGCCCTACACAATCTTCGGTGGGAGGTTGTCAAAGTTGTAGTAGGTCTGGTTGTGCATTTTCCACTTGAAGGCTTTGTTAACCTAGTTGAGTGATAGACTTGTAGTTGCAAAAGCAGTATGCTGAAGAGGATGCAGGAGGAAAGAGAGAGGGCACATACTCTGAACAGGTTTGCCTGTGAAAGGGAGAAAAGGGAGAGTGATGTTTGGGAGAGAATGTAGGAGGACTTCTCTTTCCTTCCTTCCTTCCTTCCTTCCTTCCTTCCTTCCTTCCTTCCTTCCTTCCTTCTTTCCTTCCTTCCTTCCTTCCTTCTTGCCTTCATTCCTTCATTCCTTCCTTCCTCCCTCCCTCCTTCCCTTCTTCATTTTTTTCTTTCTTTCATTTCTTTTCTTTCTCTTCTTTCTTTCATACAGAAGGGACACCACCATGTTTCAATGTTCATGGGAATAAGCCTGCTGAGAGAGAGAGATATTATAATAACAGGCAAGATATAAGAATTTTTTTGTGCAAGATCTCTCAGATGGGAAGTATTGGGAATGAGAGCCCAAATACAGGAATTCATTACAGATAGGAGGTGGGAAAGCTACATCTTTTATCATTAAAGAAGCAAGGAGAAAGGAATCAGAGTAGGTGCAATAACAGAAAATTGAGAAAATTCTTTTTTGTTGGGTTTTATATTCCCTGTGAAGCGGACGGTAATTTTTTTTTTTTTCTGAGAGTGAGGGAATGAAGAAGTGGGGTCAGTGGTGAGGGGAAAGGGGTATTTTGTAATGAAATATCATTATGAAAGGAGGAAAAAATATTCCTGGGAAAATAATTATAGGTAGCACTGAGAACACAGCTGAGGTTGGAGACCAACAATTTTTAAGGACTCTATATAAGTCATAATGGACTAGTTATACTTCAGTAATAACTCCTGAACATCAGTAACTTAAAACAATGCAGAGCTGTATCTTTCTATGCCACATCTCCATCTCAGGTTGGCAAGAGCTCTGCTCTAGGTGTTATTCCTCAGGGATGTAGGCTGATGCAGCCTCCACCATTTAGACCATCACCAGCCAAAATAAATCACAGTCCTGCCAACTTCACAGGGGTGGTGAAATGCCTCAAAGCAAGAGAACCAGAATACCTATGAACTGAACTAAAAACTAAATCATAGTTTTACGTTTGATTTCTCTAGGACATTTCATCAATCTGCTGTAAAGGTGGAAATGTTGGGTTAATGCAAATTGGGATTTTGACCATCAGATTGGATAAATGAGGAGCAAGAGAGATAA